TTTTTTTTTTATACTGCCACCACCCCGAACTTTGAAGATACACGGGCCCGTAACAGTGTATTATGCTGAATCGCGAGCTCCTTCTCTGTTGACGTCGCTTTCCTGGTACCACTCGTGAATACTGCAAGCGTTTAAACAGTGTGCACCGTCTCGCCTACATCCCCGGTGACGTACTCGACCTGTTGAAACTTATTGCTTCCGTCATTTTAGAGTACGCAAGGCAGATATCTCGTTGTTCTGGTTTCGGTTATAAAAGCAAGGTAAAACGCTCGTAGTTCCCGCCCCCAGTACACGTTGGACATCTTCCACACTTTGACACCGGATAACTGAATGAGCGAGGATTTACATTCACTTCCGAGGTTACTCTCGCCGCTTCCTCACCGTTGAGCAGCAGGATGAGCTGGCGACAAGCCGCGGATGAAAGGCTGGAGCAGCCCAAGCGCACTCGGTGCCGATGCGGGCGACGCGGGTTTAGGAGGCCAGCACAAACCGTGGCCATTCCAGCTCTTCGTCCTGACACGGTGTTGCAGAGAGCAGGGTAAAATACAGCTACACGGATCACCGAAGCAAACGACTGCTATCTTAAATCTTGGCTTGTGATTGCGCCTTTGTAGTAGATCATCTTATTCGTTTTGCTGGAGAGACGCAAACGACGGGCGTAACAAAATCGCTTGCATATTCCGCATATCTCACAAAAGCATTTACCCCGTCACCTTGCGAAAAGCGCGAAACACGGAGTCCGCACCGTCCTAAGCTTCCCGTTTTTTACCTGCTTTAGAGCAGTTTGTACCTGCTAGTAGATATGCCTACTGAAACTGAAACAGGGCAGTGCCAGAGAGAAAGAGACAAAGTTGAGAAAGCTTGCTCGCTCTCTAATTTCTCAACTCTCAAGTGATTGTACCATAATAAATGCACCAACGCGTCTTCCAAAATAAAGAAAGAGCACTACGTTCACAACATAAAAAATGGTCTCAGTACATGCATCTGTGGGCAGGTAGGAAACCTTGCCCTTATTTATTCACGCCGCATGATTGCCGCAACAAACTCGTTGCAGGACCGAATCATACTCGAGCGGTGTGCGTCGCTATGCAAACGCAGTCCAACACGAAGCATAAAAAACGGCAGATTTAAGACAACAATCTGGAGTCCATTATCCAATTAAAACAACGTAATTTTGTTGAAAACGCCCGCTGCTTCTTACTCACGGTATGTGTCGGGATACTTCCACAGTTCGAAACGGAACGAGGGAAGATTTACTTTTAAAAACGCTCGCAGCGTCCTCCCGGACCAGCTGGACCGGATCAGCTGACGACGACGGGACTGTACCCGTTGAACCTCCACCACGCAACAAACAATTTGCGCTCCGTGTTAAAAGCGTGGTTCAAACAGACCCGGAATACAAAGCACCGCACCACACACGACGAATGTTTCAGCTCTTTTTCGCATCGCCGGGTTGCACCAAACAGTACGAGATCGCCGAAGTCAACGCCGCGCTGTCGTGAACCTTGGCTTGTGGTTGCGAACTCGTGGACCCTGTGACTCCCTTCGCTTTCAAAGCACACACGACGATTACGAATGCTACTTTCCGTCTTCCAGGAACATAACAGGGGCACTTCTCCGGTCACGTCTTCACTATGTGCACGCAAACTCCGAAGCTCTATGCGAAGCTTCTCGCGTCCCGTCAAACCAAAACAGTAGCGACGCCATGCGTACTTGCCAGATTTTCTCCGGTCAAACAAAAACAACGAAAGCCAACCGGCGCTTGCTTCCAGCGTACATCGGCGTTGCGCTTGCGCCGTGGCCAGATCGCCAGATCGCTTGCAGTTGAAGGTTGAATCAAAAACGAAACCAACTGCAATGTCACGTGTTCACATCGAGGACACGCTTTTTATATCCATTTTAACTGTTTGGAACGAATAATTAGACCCATAACTTTATTTGTGGTGTCTAAGAAACTGTTATCAGGACCCCTAAACTAAATACAAACATGGGCGACATGGAGCAAGCCGCATTGCCATCGACCAGAAGATGGCGGCGAGCCCGGTAAGCGTGGGTTTCGCCAACGTCCTGCGACATGGCGCAATTGCTTTTGGTGCATATCTGTCTCCGAGACATGTTTCTTTCCGCGGCATTTGTCTCGACGGTCCTTTCTAAGTGTGTCCCCAAGCATTCCGGTGCTTCGATAGCCGGCAATGCCGCGATCGTCGACGGGGGCGATGCCTGTTTTCGAGGTCGGCTACACGGTTATGCGTGTATGACCGAACCAAAACACGTTTTTTACAAGCTCGCATGATTTCTGAACAAATTATCCGTTACTCATCGTGTAAATTTATGGTAATTTGTGTAAATGGCGTGTTTTTCACCCCAAATATTCGCCAAATACACGGGACTTGCTAACAGTGCAGTTACCACACAATAGGGAGTTTTAGAATAGCGCACGCTAAACTTTGCTCACGCAAAGAATAGCGTCGTCGCCACTGCGCATGCGCCGAACGCTAGCCACGTTTTGTGCTTTGCGTGCGATATTTTAGCGTACACTATTTTTAGGAAATTGCGTGCGTACGCAAAGAGTCTTCGCGCTCCTCCAAGGAGGATTCGTGATGAGAAGTTGGCTAAAGCCAAGACGAGCACAGTTGAAAAATGGCGGCTCCCAGGACCATGTCTGCGGCCGCTTTGGTGGCGTTGTGAGTGCGACGTCGGCGGCATCCTCGCGACGTTGATTTTCAATACGGGACGACATTGCATCCGATTTGGCAACGATCACCGGCAACTTGTTTGCGACGCGCGAACATTTCTCGGCGAAAGTCAGCATTTCTCTTGTCGAGGCGACGCAAGCGGACACAACCGGTCGATCGCCCGTGTCCCATTCTCCTGTTTAAACAAATCTAAAATGTTACTCTGGATCAAAAAAATAAAACATTTTTTTCAGGTTACAGCATTTCGTATGTGAAATAAAAATTGTGACTGTATCTTGGTGGTGTTGCAAGCGCGAGATGCTTGGGCTTTCGCGTCGCGGCCAGGTCGCAGTGGAGAAATGCTGTTCTAAAACTCTCTTGCGTAGTGTGCGCTAACGCATGCGCTAAATTTAATGATAGCGTGCGCTAAAATTGCGTACGTTATTCTAAAATTCACTAATACTTGCGGAGAACATTCCGCGGCTACGAAGTCAAAACTATGGTCGCACGTGTGCTCGAGTATCTTGAGCGCCCAACAAAGCAGTGCAAGCGCACTCTTCACCTCTTCTGAAATAGCTATCCGAGAGTATAGTGCGGTAACTATGGTGACGCACAACAGCAGTTAAGGTTAGTTAACTGCGGTTAAGGGTGTCCGTGTAACACCGGTATAATTAGATGCGCTACTAATTTTAAAACAAAGCTACTTAGTTACGACTTATGAATACGGCTGTTTATTTTTACGGAAACTACAGTCACTGATAATTTAAGAAACGCAGGGTGCGGTATGTTATGCTTCACGCTTCTTGCTTCGCGATTAGTTCCTAGTGTTTTACAGTATTTTTTATAGGCGGTTAATCCTCCTTCGTATTCTTCGTCTTTTATTTCATCTCCGGTCATCTTGCAAATTTTTTAAGGGCTAATGCCAAAACCTGATTGGCTGCGAAGCGATAATGAGATAGTCGGTACTCAGCCACGCCTTTTTTTAAGTTGGCAGTGACTATATTCTTCAGAGCTTTAATTCGCAAGGAAGACGAGAGATGTCTTCCGAAGCTGTCCAAGTTAAAGTTTGGGCAGGTTCGACGTTTTCAGACTTATACCCGGAAGTAGGACAAAGGTCCATGCACACTGCTTGTAGCTGCTGCTTTAGGGGGGCTTAGGACTAGTCAAGCTGTACACACAGCTTTTTTCCAAAGCCCCCACCAACACTGTACCTTTCTTGTTGGAAATAAACCTATTATTAGGTTCGACAAAAGGCCGGCTTTTACGCGCATGTGCAGGGATTGAAAACGAGTTTGCTACGAAACTAACTAAAACCATAAAACCATAATACGTTTGCTTTTATATAGCATGAACAGTGACAGGCATTTTCGCAAATCTAAAAAGAAAAACTAACGTATAAAGTGCTCTTATTTTTGTTTTCTTCAAAAATTCTAAATTGTTGTTTGGAAGTCGGGCAACGCTGTACAAAAAGGCAAACTTCGTCGACTTTTTCCGTACGTTAAAAGGTTTAACGAAACAGTAAAACCCTGAGGTTGTAGAAAAGTTGGCTACATCTCTAATGATGACAACCTCAGTGCTCCCAGACGGTTAAGCTTTTCTTTTTTTTTAAACACAGGAAGCGTTTTTTAACATTTTTCCACAAGAATACCGTAACAAGAAAACAGTCACGAAAGACTGTGACGTCACGTGACATCATGACATCATCATGACGCCATAACATTATATGAGCCTGCCCATTACGTCACAGGATTTCGCCATGACGTAATGGCGTTGCAACATGATGACGTCATCCTGACGCCATGCGATTTGATGACGTCGCGTAACGTCATCAGGGCACGGAACATGACGTCATCTGACATCATGTGAGATCGTGGCGCCACGTGACTTCATGACGGTGAGTGAAATCAGTCATGTGACTTGGTTACGTCACAGCCATTTTACCTCATGACGTCACGTGAGACGTCCCACACACATAGCATGTGCCCAGTTCATTCTCAACATTTTTACAGCGGAGCTGTTAAGGGCTAGTTTCCCCAGGGCCGTGTCCGCCAGCAAATAAATGTCGACAGAACACTGCGGACAGCTACCGCCATCTATGAGCGACGGCAGTAACTAGACAACCGGCTGCCGCTAATAGATGGCGGCAACCTTTCCAGCCTTTCCACGCTTGCTTGCCGACTTCCGGCCGGCCATTACTTCATTCCTGCCATAGTACACCTTCGCTGGTCTCATTCTTGAACAGAATGGAAAGACTGAAAGTTTTTTGTGATCTTCGGTCTTTGTGAGCACAATCAAGCTCATCTTGAATTGGTGTAAATGTTGCAGGCGGACAGCGGGTCCCCCGTGATGTACGAGGAGGACGGACAATGGATACTGGATGCGATTGCAATCGCGGGGCCCACAAGCTGCATCTTCAACGGCACTTCTCCTTATTATTATCTAAGGGTCTCACATTTTACGGAAGCCTTTATCAGACCCTACCTGAGCTTTTCTGCCAAAGCGGAACAGAACTGCAGCGGTTTGTGTGCCAGCACAGCTGACATAGAAAGATGCATGCTAGAATTTTACGGAAAGGGTGAAAGTTTACAAACCTAGAGCAATAAAGAACAAGTATTATGGATTACCACCTCTTTCTTGTGTATATGCGAGGTGTGTTCAAGAAGTTCCGAGGCTGATTTTGTAGCTTAAAAAGAGAGGAAAGCGTAGTGATGCGCGCGCAGCAGTCGAAGGAAGGAACTTTCGTGCTCGTTATATACCAAAGAGCGTCGCTCTGTGCACATTTATAACTGCACTACACGATTTTAACAGCGAATATGTTATAGGATAGGATCTGGGGGAAAAAATGCGTCCATGGATGTTAACAAAAAACTCCCGTTTAAACAGCGCTCCTTCGTTCCGATTGGTCTCGGCAAGTATGAATAAGTAGAGGGAGCAACCCGCTTGAGTCAGCCTTTCTTGGCATTATTAGATAGTGAAGTACTAATTTCTTCTAATCATCTACCCGACTAATCTCAGCTAAGAGTGCGCTGTGACGAGGCCACCATGGACGAGGCTGAGGACAGAACGCGCGGATCTAACCTTCTTTTCTTTCCCTTCCGCGATGCTAATAAAGAGACTTGGGCTCAATCAGAGAATACTGTTCTCGAGCTGTGCCTCGAAAAATCGGGGTTAGAACTTGCCCATAAGTGACCATAAGGCAATGATCACTTTGGTCACTAAGAATGAAATAAAGACAATTAAACAACGATGTCATGTACGCGTCGTCATTGCAATCATATATAAATCGTATAGATGTATAGCTGTCGTAAAGTTGTTGTAAAGATAACAGCTTCGCTAGTCCTCCATCTTCACGTGAAGTGGATGGGCTTTAAAATTTTTTGTGACGTCATCAGACGGAAATCGAGGACAACGTGCTTTTTTAAAGGGCAACTCCGCTTCATTTTTGATATTTAGAAAGTTATGTAGCCCTCTTCAGTATCATATAGGAAGACGCCATGTCAATTATTACGATCTTATTCCGTTTATATATTTAATAAACTGGCCAGCAAACCTTCAAGTGAGCCAAGTCGCCGAAATCTGCCAACTCTAGCGCGCGACGTGAGGCGCAATCGTTAGAGCAGTCAATGTGACGGAGTTTGAGCGGCAAACGTTGAGCCACTACGTCAGAGGCATGACTACGTCATTCTCACGTTTTGTTTGTTTTTACTTCTCAAAGCGAAATTGAACGATGACGTCATGAGTTTCTCCTCCTGGTGTTGGCTGACCGGGCGTTCACGTGATCACCGTAACGCGGATGCGCTAGTTTGCGCTGCCCTGCGCGCTGATCGGTCTGTTTCTCCGCTCCCCTTCTCCTCTTTTGTCTTCTCCCCTTCCCCCTCTCCCCCGGGCCGTCCACGCCATGCGAACCGACCTGCCCGCGTCGCGTGTCCTTTCCCTCGCTTCCTCCCGAACGTCACAAGACCACGTGGTTCGACGTGACGTGGCCATGAGTCTGACAACCCGAGACCAATGTTGCCTGACGCAACCGAAGTTTCGGTTTCGGTATCAGCTGATGTTTAAATTAGGATTACACAAATAATATTCCACATTTCGCGAATCCGAAGGCGTAGAGTTGCTTAGTAGTGCTTTGTGAAATGGAATCACATGTAAGCCTAAATTTTTTGGAATTGAGCGGAGTTGCCCTTTAAGATGCGGTAAACATACCAGTCAAAAACACGTTCCGGGCACCATAGTTGAAGGTAATGCTCACTGATGATTCCTAAAGATGTGAAACAATATAACATTAAAGTAGTTTCTTCCGTGAAGTTTTTTTTTATTTTATTTATTTACTTACACAATGACCAGCGGCGTAATTTTAGGCATTACAACAAAGAAGCAGGCAATGCAGAAAAAAATACACATAAAGGAGAATAAAATGTAGAGGAGAGATATACTGGATAAATTGTAATATTTCAAATATCTATGTATTTATATAACAGTATAGATGCAATTGTTTGGTGTAATGCGGAACTTCGATGTTGTCTGGCCTGTGACCGCACCAAGACTTTCTTCTCAAGGCCTTTTGTGCTTTGTCTGTGGCACGCCGCTCGTTTCTTTTTTTTTTATATTGTGTTGGGTTGCATCTGCCGTCGCTTGGGCAGCTTAGGCTCAAAAGGTCATGTCTGCTATACATGATAGACATGCACGTAATACGCCGCAGCAGGTTTAATATATGTTGTGATAAAAACAAGGGTACAGCTGCTGAATCCCGCCAGTCCTATTCCTATGACGAAAAAATCCCTGGAGGGACAAAGGACAAACACAAATCTCTAACCACAGCTAAGTGACTTGTGTACGACCGAAAAAATTCGCCTGGTCCAGGTATCGAACCCGCGACCTCTTCATTTCTGGGGGAGCGCTCTACCAACCGAGCTAACCAGGGGTTAGACGTCAGTAGAGCCAACGGGTTTTATCATCTGCCGCCAGTCTAACACCAAAACGGGTTAAGCTTGCATTTTAAGGTTATGATTATAATGCAATTAAATGCAAAGGTGGAAGCGAGCTGGACCTTTGCATTTAATTGCATTATAATAATAAACTTAAAATGCAAGCTTCACCCTTGTTGGTGTTAGACTGGTGGCAGATGATAAAACCTGATTGCTCTACTGACGTCTAACCGCTGGTTAGCTCATGTGATAGAGCGCTCCACCTGTAATAGGGAGGTCCCGGAGATACGTGTTTGGAGATATGTGTTTGTCCTTTGTCTCTCGTGTTCCCCTTCTCCAGGGATTATTTTCGTCATTCTTGTCCAGCTCGCTTGCACCTTTGCATTTAATCGCATTATAATAATAATCCTATTCCTAGTTGTCTTATACTCCTCATGAGTCATATGTTTGTTTTCCGATCATTTCTCTTTTTTATAGCCGTCCCCGATCATACTTACAGAGCTCTGTCGTCGGCGGGGCTACTCACCATGCTTGTGCTTTTCACCAACAATAAAAAAAACGACGCCAATGCCTAATCATCTGCACGCGAACTAATGAGGAAAGCTGCGGACGTTATTCAACAACATGGCGAAACGCGTCTTACCGGAAATGAAAAGGCGTTTTGTGAAACCGCCCTATAGAAAATTATATCGCTCTGCCTCCGTCGCTTTAGCCATCTTTGATAAAAAAAATTAGTCCAATTGTTATTTCAAAATCATATCACATCACATCGTGACACCACGATGTGACGTCATGCGATATCACGGCCCTACACAAAACACGGACGAGATCCGCTACGAAATCTCGCCAATAGGGAGTTTTAGTAGAGCGTTCCGACAACTCCGATAAGTATGCCCGGCACTCTGCCGACGCCCTTGCGCACGCATTGTATCGTTATCGGAGATCGTTATCGGAGGTATTGGAGCGACCCACTCGAACTCCCAAATAACGGCTATTGCCTTCGAAATACCACAGCGGCGCATTAGATCTTTTTTTTTTTTTCCGTTGCACTAATAATCCCTTCCAATGACCGTCACATCGGCTGCCGTTTTGGTGGTCGTTTCTGCGGATCGCGTAATCTTGAGTATACTTTTCGCACCACCAAGTTTATTATCGGCAACAGCAAGCAGCAATGACAATTACCCTGGTGCGATGGCATCATGTATACAAACCATACATTACCGAAAAGAGTAAGACTACTGACGCTACTGTTAAAAAAAAAATGTGCAGCGCCTTCACAATCGCCTACAAATAACGGAAAGTCGCCGATCCTGGATTTAGGGTGACATTTAGTTTGAACAGTAAGGGGTGAAAGTTTCGCATTTATTATGACGAAGAAGAGCCAAAGCAAGACTGGTTATTTAGGAGACATTACGAGCAAATAGACTTCTCATTAAGACGTCTAAACAGTTGTGTTGCCCCTTAAGTAACCGGTTCATTGTGCACATTCAATATTGCAAGAAGGAAAAGTATGCAAGCGAGCTGGTTAGGAAACATAATGTAGACCCTGAGGCACGGAGGAATAAAATAACGAACAGCTGTTCGTGATTCTATTTTTTTTTTGTGCCTCAGTGTTTAGATGATCATATTTAATATAATCGTCGCGAGACACATGAAATAACGAAAAAATGATCAAGTTTGAAACCTTCCACTCGTTTTATTATTTATTTACAATTTGATCACTGAAGTTCTTCGGTACTTCATTCATGCACTTTTAAATTGCAGCACGTAAGTTTGTCTCGAAAGAAGCAATACAATTGACTGATACAGCTCGTAACTTCGTGTGAACGAAAAAAAATAGTGCCAGAAATGTTAGTTCAATAAGTAGTCTGAGAGCGCTTAGCGATCACTGCTCAAGAACAATGATTTGAGGCACATCGAACCCTGATCATCCAAAAAATATTCGGAGAAAAACTTCTGGGGTAACATAGTGTTTCTACCATCACCTCGAACTTCACTTCGACGCTTCTGTATTTCGCACACTGCCAACAGAAGTTCATTAGCCTAAAATGACTCTAGCTCGACAATGTTTTCAAATTTGTTTGTTCGTCAGAAAAAGCACAAAATTAGTCGCCCGCACAATTCCAGAGTAGTTGCCAGGGAATTGTTTCGACGCTCAACTGATCTGTGAATATACGTACAAAAAATACTTGTTAGTTGTTCGTTTCAAATTTTGCATACTTCCATGAGACCATCCAACACCACCCGTACCAGAAACAAAATCTTAATTTCCCTGTTCCCCCACCTTAAAATATCACCAGGTCAGCATCGGGCTGGTGCTTGAAGTTGATACGAAGCGCTCAAGCAAAAGTCTGCGCAACGCTTGTAATCAATCCAAGCACCGCTGGCGGTCGTCCTTTGATAATGTATCATCAGTGGCACGAACAGTCGTTGTCTTAGCTACACCTTACAACAAACGGGGAGTCTCCATTCTCGCAAAGCACTTGGAGCAGCCAATCGCTGCAATCTATGAAAGCAGTTAATCGAGTGACGACTCTGAAATTATCTTTAGAACTAGAAAAACAGTATGTGCTGTGGCACGGAGCACAACATAAGCACCTGAAACATTATGCGTCGCAGAGCCTGCACCCTCTGAGTGTCTTACCATGGTACTGGTATCCATGCCGTCAGAGAGGTCCATCAACCTCAGAAAAGCTCTGGCCCTACGCTGGAGCGCCATACAGTCACCGCCCGACACCATGCTACACACCAACAACTAGGGCCCCTCTAGGGTGATCGGCTATGACCATGGAATGGGAAGAGACTGAAAATTCTCGAGTGCTATTTTTTTTTTTATTGTGTATAAAAAATGGGTTGTCAATAAAGTGGATCCCGACACACTCCAACGATGCCGACCTGCCGTCGCGCCCTTACTACATATACATTTTTGAAAGGTGGCATGCCGTTAGGTTTGTGACGCCACAATTCAGGGATTACGTCTTGCTACCCTAAGCTACACGGCGGCACCAAGCGGGAACAAGGGATCGGGACAATCGCCGCCTGCTGCGGTTGGCCAGCGCTGCACCACTGGCGGAAGGCGGCGATGTCCCGGTCCTTTGGCCCCGCAGTGTAGATTAGGGCTCCTGTAGTAGCTTTCGCAAGAAAGCTCCTTCATAGAATCAAGAAAGCTGCCTGTCCAAAGTGTCCAACATGCAACACTCCGGAAACTGTTGAAGACCTTCCGATCATAGGCGTAGACTACGGGGGGGGGGGGGGGGGGGGAGGCATCGGGGATCGTGCCCCCCGTGGTAAAATCCGGGGGGGGGGGGGGGGGTCAGAGGCCCTTCCCCCCCCCCCCCCCCCCCCCAGGCAGGCCCGGGCCATGATCCTTACCGAGACGCTGTGACGCTGTTTACGTGCCGTGTAACGAGTTTCAAGTAGTGGCATGTAAACGAAATAATGCCCGCGTTGCTTTTATTCGCAACATACATGCGAAATGGAATCCCAGCGTACTTCCGGGGGGGGGGGGGGGGAGCGAAAAAGCACCCCCCCCCTCCCCCGGAGAACTTCTCAACCTGCCCCCCCCTTGGGAAAATGGAAAGTCTACGCCGCTGCTTCTGACAGTATGTACCCTTCGCGGCAACGAGAGACAGTCGCTCGAGGTGACACTGTGAAACATGGATGATAGGCCAATTACCATCGCGAAAGTGTTTGGTGACTGGGACTCAATTCAATGCTTCGTAAATACTACAAACGCATGGATTACCTTTTTACGAGACGCAAGGTTGGAACTGATTCTTTAAGATGTGAGACAAAACTACTCCGATTACCTCACCCCCATCCATATACCCTTCCTTTTCTCATTTCATCTTTCTAAAGTTTTCCTTCAATATCCCCTTTCCCCCAGGGTAGAGCAGCCTGCTAGATCCAGGCACACAGGCTAGCCTCTCAGCCTTTCAATCCAACCTCTCTCCCTTTTTTTCTTTCTATCTCTCTTAAGCCTAAACATAATTTCAGCCTCGTCACTGGCCGCGCTTTCCCGTAGGTTGCAGCGATTGACTGTTCCAAGTGCTTTGCAAGAAATTGAATTTACCAGATTTCTTAAACTGTAGGTGGCACTTTTTTTTTGTCTTTTCGTGTTTTTTTTTTTTATCCGGGGTTATCATTTGATCGTTTTCCTTCATTTTCTTGGGTCATGAACCGGGTTCAACGCGGTAAAGTCTTGGGCCGTACACCGTGAAGACGTCGAAGCTACGCTCCTTCAAAATGGCACCCAAACCAGCACCGACTCCTGGAACTTCCGCGTGGTGTACTTCAAGTCCAGCTTTGGCCAAAAGTCGTCGAACAGCTTGGAGGAATGGACGCCGAACATGTCGTACACGTGACGATTCAGGAGGGAGAACCTGGAAGATAACAGCGCTTTTTAGACGACTGAAAATAAAAATACTCGTTAAAGAAGAAAAAAAAATAAACACGAAAGAAAAACAGATTTTTTTGTCCGTCTATTTGTGTGTTCGTCATATTTGGACAAGAAATAACGCAACTGTCCAAAAGAATAATGGCATTAAAAACAAAATCCGCTGTTTCATCGGAAAACGTTACAAGATTGAAGGAAGCGGAAAATGCAAGCGCGAGAATGTCATTTTGAGCAACTGTTTTACTTGCTATTTCCAAATTCCTTAAATTGCTATACTTTTTTAAAGAAAGAAAACACAGAATTAACGAGTTTACTGTTGTCACCGCTCAAACTTCAGTACATGGAAATAAATTACTTGGTTGGAAAACACACAAAATGATGCCACGTAACGCCAAGTTAAAAAATCGCCCCACGCCGGAGTCCCGAAGTTTTTTTTCTTTTTCCGGGGATAAAAACCTCAATTCTCTTTTAAATGTTTAAAACTGTGTACAAATTGTAATTTTTACGTAAGCAAAGTATTTCTGTAGAACTGAGCCGGCTGCCTGAGAAGAACATAGTAGAAAACCCCAGAGAAAAGGCGCTAAAAGGACAGAACAACACCGTCTCAGAACCAGCACAACAATTATTTAATTTGACACAGTCTTCCTTCTCTTCACATCCCCTGGTCATCAGCAGGAAGCACATTTGAAGGCCTCAACCAAAATTACACGTGCCCGAATGCATTAAAGTTGTCCAAGCTTTTGTACTAACTTGCTGAGAAGCATCCACAGTGTTGTTCTGTTCTCTTAGCTCCTTCTCTCTGTGTTGTCTTTTTTTTCTGTTTTTTTTTTGTACTATGATTGGTCACCAGCTCGCCGGCGTCTTTACTCTAATTTCTTTGAGAAGAACGCTTCCCCTTACAAGATATCGTTTTGCGGGGAAATGGAGCAAGACAGCGTAAATTTTGAAGAAGCAGAAACATGCAGTTGAGCTTCTGCTACAAATATCATAGCTTTTTCCTTAATAAAGTTTTTCTTCAAAGCTATACATTCGACTAATACATTGAAGATGTAGACCTACTAGGAAGCTGTTTGGGAGAGCAGCCTTAACTGACCTTCACTTTTTGTTTTCCGTTTGCTTTGCTCGGTCCCCTTCACCATAATGCTAGAAAGGTATGCTCCAAAGTGTTCTTGTTTCTCTCCTTCTTTTTTCATTTGTTTAATTTCTTCTTTTGACCTCTGCTGTCTCCTTCCCTTCCCGGCCCGGAACTGAGTTGTCCCTACCTGGCGGCGTGGCCACAATGTTCCCGGTTCTCATTTTTTTTTTTTCTGTAATACGCAGTCACAGTGTGGGTTCGACTTTACCAGTTGTACGATTAGAGATTTCACTGAGATAAAAAAGAACAATAGTATAATCGTGGTTCCGGACATCTGTCATAAATATATGGAACCCCGCATGCATTAACTAAAAAATAAAATAATTTCCGCATTGTATTATATTTTAATTTGCCACAAGAGTGGATGTGATTCCGAGCAGTGCACTGATTGGAAACGTCAACGCCTAAGGTAAACCCATCTAAACAAAATTTTAAAACAAATGTATTGAAATACAGACATTGTTTATAAAGATGACTAAATTTTTATATCAAAATAAATCGTATAATCGTAAAACTGGGAGGCCTCATTAAAACATAAAAAATGATAAAAGTGGAAGAAAACAGTTGACCTTGTTTTGGCCGTTCCATTTTCCCTCATTAAAAGAAACAATTGCCTACAGCTACCTTTTTTTTTACTTCAAAATAAAAGGAAAATACTTGTTTGCACATAAGCAAATGTTGGGTGTTTAATTTGTAGCTTTTGACAATAGCAAGGTCATTCCTCGATACAATCGGTGCACAAAGGCACCATGTAAAGAAGTTCAGTTTCTGGCAGATTTTAGGGGTGTGGGTTGCAGCTGGAGCCGCTAAATAAGCTACGCTCCAGAGTAGCGACCCCTCAGCCAGTTTGGTGTTGAGCACCATTGATGCAAGTGATCCGAATCCTTATTTGAAATCACAAAATAAAGCCTTTCCGTCCATCAGACATTTTTAAAACTGTCCGCGACAGAGCAATACGATTCCACCTGGGCTTCATCACAACATGCCTATAGAATTCAGGAAGTCGCAATTTTTCATCGCAACAATCGCCCATGGAACCCACGTTTTACAAAACATAAACACGGAGACACCCTCAAAGAAAGAAAAAAGCTGTGCGTACAAAAAACGTTTTTTATGTGCTGAACAAACCTGCGAGACGATAGTCTGTTGAGAAATGCCCAGTACGTTGGCCTCAGGTTGTGGGGCTCGAAAACAGCCTGAAAAACACAAAAGAAAAAAAAATCAAGGCTTAGAACTTGGCTCACTATCTGCGATGTCGGTGCGAATAAAATGTCTGGAAGATCACATTTTTTTAATGCTCGGAGATCAACGCGATTGCGCGACTTTTGGGAAGGACGAAGGCTCAAAATATAGTTTTGCGCGGCGCAATGATAAATACGGGAACGAGCTCGTGGCTTTACAAAAAAAAAAATGCTCTTTTTGCAAACTTCTTTGCTAATTCAGAGCTTACGTTGTCGTCAGATGGCGTATAAGTATTAAGAGTTCTGCTTCGCATTAGCCAATCTGAACGTGTGCAAAGCATAAAGCAGAAGACGAGAACGACATTTTAGGGAGAGACACACGAAGTTGCTTTCGATTCGCGAGTCTGCCAGACTAGGGAGGGGCAGTGGTATCATTAACACGGTTCTGAGTAATAAGTTTGGAGTTCTTGAATGACGTTGAATGGCGCTTCCATTTTTAAACGTATTTAGAGAGAGTCTATTTTGGTTAAATTGATCGAGAATTTGCGACCAAATGTTAAGCGTTAGTCTTCATATACGGCGTGCCAGAAAGTACGTAAGCGTTTCATTTTTTAGCATAGACACTGCTCGGAGGGTAGAAGTAAAGGAATATTTGTCCACAGTGGATGCATAACATTTGAAGCTAGAGCCTCTTTCGAACTTCGTATGTGCTCAGTATAGACGCTTTACACACGCTCCAAATTACAGCCGCCATTGCTCACCTTCTCTTGTCTTACCGAGATGCCGAGCAACTGAAACGGTAGTTGACGATCCTCTACAAAGGCCGATGCTTTAGAAAAGGACACAGTTGAATCTAATGTGGCAATAACCTGGCCTGCTATGGTAATGATGAAGTGAAATAAACGAAATAAGAGGAAACAAAAACTGAAGGTCAGTTATGGCGGCGTCCATGCACAGCTGCTGCAAAGCGTCTATAGGATATATACAGCTCACTTAGAACAAAACATGTTCCCGTCTATTAGGGAGGAAAGAGGAGAACATCTTTCAACAAAAAACAATGACTTTATTCATATATTAAGAAGGCTCGAGGTGCACCTAAGCACTTTTTATGAGTTGTGAATGTGAAAGCCTGAATACTGTTCTCGCGCGCGTTCTCGTCAAGTGGCCGCGCCGCGCTGACATCGGTCGTGCTCAGTCATGGGCACGTTACCAGTAAAAAGTAACAGTGTTACAGTTACAGTTACCTAGGGGGAAAAAGTAACTCTGTTACAGTTACAGTTATCGGATTAAAAAAGTAACGTGTTACAGTTACAGTTACCGCAGAAAGAGTAACGCCGTTACTTTCTCGTTACGGTACCAAAATTGGACACAAGAAACCATAAACCAAAAAAAATATTTTATTTGTTACACTGTAGTGAGAAGAAAGATGAACTGCTGAGAAATTAGAAAACATTAAAACCGAAGGGTGCTTCTTTTTTGTGTCATTCGTCGTTTCAGAATTTTAACGATTATAACTTATTTGCAATATTTGTTATAACTTAATATCAACTGTTTTTCAAAATTGTCATCGGAGAGCTTCCCTCTCTTGATGGCGAACACATCGCGTCCTTTGCTGAACAGGCGTTCAGCCGGCGCGCTTGACGGAATCCCCGTGTTGAGCCTGATGAAGATCCTCTTTATCATGGGGAACCTTGAGAGCCCGGTCAGATCGGTCGCGGGGTCGCTCACCCACTGTTGCACCTCCGTTGATGATGGTAATGCTTGAGGCAAGTGGAAAAAAAAATCGTCTTCGTCGCCATCCTCTTTCCCTTATCCTCGGACATAGTTGAGCCAGTTTACGTGGTGCTGAGAATACCAGAGGTACCTCGAACCTTTCCGCCACTTTTTTAATATTGTGTGACACCCTGTGTAAGTATGGCATCACGTGGGGTCTTGCTCTCTTTTTTTGCTTGTCCTTTTGGCTTTTGCCCCTGAACTTCTTCAGAAGTTTTTCAGCCACTGCGAGCATAAGGGAAGTAGGATACCCTGCAGTTCCAAGTCTCTTGACCTGACTACAGAGGCTGTCGTGCATGGCATGGTGACATGACTTTCCAATTGCCGTCTCTAGACATGACGACGCAATGCTCCGTTTCACCAACTTCGAATGCGCCGAATCATAGGGGAGGATTCCCTTCTGGGTACGCGGTTTGTAACCCCAGCACACGTGTTCCCCTGTGAATTGCATTCGCAAATCCAGAAACTGTAAAAACTGCCCATCCTGGCGCTCAAGAGTGAACTTCAATTTCTTTTTTTTTTGTCAGCCAGGAATTTTAATTTTATAGTAAAAAGTAACTGTAACGGCCTAAACAGTTACAGTTACCCAATAAAAAAGTAACAGTGTTACAGTTACAAGTTACCAGTATTAAAGAGTAACGCGTTACAGTTAAAAGTTACCGAAAAAAGTAACTAGTTACCGGTAACGCGTTACTAGTAACTAGTTACTGCCCAAGACTGGGTGCTGCCGCTCTGGAGTTTGCCCGAGGGGGCTCTGGGAGGCTCCGCCGCCCAGGGTATTGAACCGAACCCGAACCGTGAAGCGAAAACCGGAAAAAAAAACGTTTTCGCGCGAACCGGAGTTGAACCGGAATGAAATATTTTTTTTCACTCCGGAGCGGAACCGCTATATTTTCCATGCGGTTTTCGGTTCATACGCGATGTTGGGTCACGTGAAAAGTGCGTGGCGAAAACTTCGTAACCTAAATAATAAACCAAAAAATACAAGAACAAAAATTATTTTCGCGCAAACCGGAGTTGAACCGGATCGAAATAATTTTTTTTTCGTTCCTGGGCAAAACTGATAAATTATTTTTGCGGTGTTTGGTTAATGTGGGAACTCAAAATGCAGAACAAATAGGTAGCGGAAAGCTCTGTAACTTTCTATTATCAGGATTTTAGATAACGGTCGTTCTCATAATTTATAAAGCTTGTTTCGAAAACTTAAACGAGATGAGCAGAGTTACTATATATTTTCCAGGATTTCTGGTCTTACGTTTCTCTTTATCAAATGCCCACATTCGTCCCAACCTTTTCTTGGGGACCGGAAATGGTTCATCAAAGAAAATTGATCACTAGAAGATACCCAATTTGTACGTCAGCAAAAGCGACCGGTTATTGAGCCTGTTTGGTGGCAAAACGGTGAGTTGAGCTAGTTGGTTTTTTCATCTCAAACTGAACGTTAAAAAAAAGAGAAAGAGAGGTATAGACAACACGCCTAGTGCTGCCTATACCTCTCTTTGTCCTTGTTTTTTTTTGTTTGTTTTTTTTGCATTTAGTTCGAGATCGTTTTGGTGATTTTGTCTTTAATTTTGTAGAATTGTGTGCAATTTACTTTCAACGCCTTGATTTCATTGTAGAACTGATCGCATAATAAAGCGATACAAACGCCGATGGATTTTTTAGAACCTGTACTAGTTGACATACTTTGGCGCATCTAATCTGCTTTTAAAATCACTGAGCGGATTTTATAATCTGACCGAATTTGAAGTCTAGCACCAGGAAGGGAAGAGGGGATTCTATTAACACTTACACAGAAAACACCAAAACAGCTTCGATCTCCGGTAGCAGAAACAGCAAGGTCCAAAACGTTTTCCCCTCAGAAACACAAACTTCAAGACGCAGTTTTTTTTTAACATTGCTTCATTTCCATCCTCAAAATGCGTTCTCGTGTTTATTATTTCTTTATATTTAACCAACGGTGGGCGGCCGACGCTCCTCGCGATTTGCCGCTACTCTGTCCGGACTCTCAGGCGCGTTCAGAGGCATGACAAATCTCGTTGCTTATGCTCAGCTTTAACGCATGGTGGACCGCGGCCAATCCTACGAGCCATCCTCAAGATTCAGCGCTATGATCGTCCAGAGAGACTTTACGTTCCGCGCGTCGCTGCTCAACTGGCAATATAGGCTCTTAGCACTGGATATGCTAGGCGAGCTGCTAGCGTTCGCTGCAGCTTAGCTTGAAACTCTGTGCCAGTATTCTTTCTTTTCTGCAAGGCCCTCAGTTCGGCGGTTCGGCTGGTTCGGGTTGAAGCTAGGGTTGAAGAAACCAGTGCTTGATTGTCCAACACGGTGGATGTCCACGCAGCATATGCTCACCAGGCTACTTGAACTAAGAGACTTTGCTGGAGGGTTCCTCTCAAAAATAAGAAAGCTCCGGATTGACTGAAGGCGTATGGGCGGAAGTCGAAATGCTCGCAGTATCGCTTCGGCCGTCAGGAGTGGCGACGAAGACATTGCAGAAGGAACAGCTCACTGTAGCAGATTTCTACGGAGCATGGCTGAGATGTTCCTTGGGCACTTCCAAGATATTGTCGCCGTTAGCAAAGGTCTTGGTCCAGTCAATGAAAAAGAGAAAGCGACAACTTTTTAACACGGATGTCTTCTGTGCAGCAGTGTACACGGATCCCCGCTACCGCCTTCTTCTCATCCCTGAGGAAAAGTATCGGGCCACATTGCATTTGACAAAAACTTGGAGGCGAATCACAGCTCTGCATTGCGAGCAAGTTTCTTTCGTTTCTTCTGAATTGCGGCGGCTGCAGATGATTCGGAAGACGCCCTGGAAGCGCTCCTCAAGAAAAGACAGGTTGAGGCTGGCGTGCACGTTCGAGGTACCAGTAACCCACTTAATATAGCACGCCTCCCGGAAATGCTAGACAAGTGGCCACGGCTTTCAAAGGACGCTAACGTGTTGCAGATTTCGGCGGAGAGAAGGGAACGCTATCCAGAACTACGCATTGGCTCAAGTAGCCCTGTGCCCGTGACCCAGGTAAGCGTGGAGCAACCCCTTAAAGGGACCATGAAATGACTTTTTGACTTTTTCCAGATAACTTTTACATTAAACCGTCAATGTTCACTGAATGCCGAACAGGCATCCGTTTTCGTCTCGGTTTATTAACTTCTACACAAAAAATTAATGAAATATCGACTTTTTCTTGACCGCAAAACAAGCCGTGACGTACGCTCTTTCCGGAACCGGAACT